TGTCATTTCAATTTGTTGACTCAATGTCTGTTGCAGAAAGATTGCAAAAGATTCAGAAATTGTTGTCAGCCGATTTTTCGGAGTATATCCAGCCGTTTGAAAACGATCATTCGGAATGTATCGCTGTTGATACTCCTGAATGCGGTTCAATTCCAAAGCATTCTTCAGTCTGTTGTGCGAATCATGAAGATCTTTGGCTAAACGTTTTAACATCAACGTGTAAACCTGAGTCCAATCAGTATGTGTCGGGGTGGCCATGTTCTCTTCCAAAGAAGTGCAGGAAAAACTGGCTACGACAGGATGCACAAACAGTTGAGAAAACATTGGATGAGGAACTTCCAAAATGGTTTCCCCAGCAATGTAAAAGGAGATCAAAGTTGCTGGAAGTTTCGAATTATGGAAATAAGTACTTTGAACAGGAACACCATCATAATCGTGCTGTCGAACTGCAGAACCCAACTGAGCCCCTGCAGAAGTTGGCGATGTCGATCGTAGTTGAGAACTATGGGGCCCCGACTGCTTGTCCACTGTCTGCCTTCTCCGCGTAGGCATTGGATCACATTGATTGGGTCCCGGACCAGAAATTGAGTGTCCGACCGTAGACGAAGTTCCCACCCGAAAAGTGCAGGGTTCCGGACCAGAAACATCCGTTTGTGGACCCCGACATGGTTGGTACACAGACAAACAGGAACATGGTGAGTTCATCAGTGTTGGATTCATCGTCATCATCATTTCTTCAAAAATTCCACAAATTTTGTTGCATTTCAGCCTGTCGTTCAGCATCGAACAGGATGATGAGGCGGAGGAGGAGGCAAAGGTGTAGATCGAACTGGGATCTGTCCAGTAGAAAATGCTTCAGAAGACGGCAAGGGTGGACCACGACTCTTAGGAAACATGGCTCGGAAACATCAAAACTGGCACCAATGAGAGTCAAAAATTGAAAATTGAAAAAAGAAAGTATCCTTATGAGTTGAAACACAAAAGGTCCAAGAGATTCACATTTGGATTGCTGAGAGTCGGACCAAAAAGGGACCAAAAGCACTTGTATTGCACCCGTGGTGCTGGGAACTTCGACTTATGTCTGCTTTGTCCGAACTGGACGAAAACTTCTGCCTTATGGCTTCTTCGCCTTATGGCTGCTTCGATTGGATTTTACAGTGTAAAATCTTGACTCCGTCATATGACGCTTGAAATGCACTCGAAGTGCATACGGCTTCGGAGATTCATACTCCACTCGGAATACGGGAAAATGCCCGCTCATGACTTTTTGATTGGTCGAAACCAACCGACGGTGCGACCAAGTCAGGTCAAACACCCAGGACACACTGTGGGGTAATGGTAAGTAAAAGGTGTGAATGATGTCATAGTCTTCGCCTGATTTCCTGAGTTGCCTGGCAGTAGAATTTCAGCGGACACAGATTCGCGATCGAAGAAACAACGCACAGCTCATAAACAAGAACAGAAAGTCAACAGTTGAAACTATAGCAGGTACGTAGATCAGGCGTCCCTGATCTATATCCTTACCACATGTCACCCAGCTTCGTTGGCAGAGGAAGTGACATGGGTACCTCTGCCCCCTGCTTTTTAGAATAGTACAAGAGCAATGAAAAGAACTAAAACCGTTTGTTATAACGGTGTACACACACACATTTACACACAAACGCTTTTACACACAGACCCTTTTACACACAGACGCTTTTACACACAGACGCTTTTACACGCAGATGCTTTTACACACACACACACACTTTCATACACAGAGGCTTTTACACACAGAAGCTTTTGAAGAGTGTCTCTATATGACATTTTTTGGTCCTGACTCAAACTGCTCTGTTTTTGACATCAAGCACATGATGGCATCGAGCTCTGTTGCAAACGTTTGCAGACATTTCACTAGTGAAGTATTGTCACATGTGTCATTTACAGCATCATGGTACCGATCTTTTTTGGGCCATTTATGTGGGATTTTCCATAATAAAATGAAATAACATGTGTCATACACAGCATCATGGTACCGAGCTTTTTTGGGCCATTTATGTGGGATTTTCCGTACTAAAATGAACATGTGTCGTACACGGCATCATGGTACCGAGCTTTTTTGATAGTTTCTGTGGGATATTCCCAGAATAAAATGAGATAACGCATTATGGTATTGGACCTTTTTTTGTGCAAACGTTTGCAGACATTTCACTAGTGAAGTCTTGTCACATGTGTGATTTACAGCATCATGGTACCGATCTTTTTTGGGCCATTTATGTGGGATTTTCCATAATAAAATGAAATAACATGTGTCATGCACGGCATCATGGTACCGAGCTTTTTTGGGCCATTTCTGTGGGATTTTCCATAATAAAATGAAATAACCTGTGTCATACACAGAGGCTTTTACACACAAACGCCTTTACACGCAGATGCTTTTACACACACACACACTTTCACACACAAACGCTTTTACACACAGACGCTTTTACACACAGAGGCTTTTACACACAGACGCTTTTACACACAGACGCTTTTACACACAAACACTTTTACACACAGACACTTTTACCCACAGAAGCTTTTACACACACACACACGCTTTTCTTTTACACACACACACACACTTTCACACACAGAGGCTTTTACACACAGACGCTTACACAGAGACTTTTACACACAGAAGCTTTTACACCCACACACACATACACACACACACACTTTTCTTGTACACACACACACTTTCACACACAGAGGCTTTTACACACAGACGCTTACACAGAGGCTTTTACACAAAGACGCTTTTGCTCGGGAAAAAAACAAAATCTTACAAGATTGCACCATGCGACGAACATACAACTTCTAACAAAAATATAAATTGGATTAAGACCCACTTTTAACGCACCCAACCTCCCTGGCTGGTGCCAAGATTTTCTCCAACCCTTCACGCAGCTCTGCTAGAGGGCGCCAGTTCTTGCCGGATCGTCCCTGCACACCACCCGCAACAGCGAGGGCTCGAATCTCATCTTTTGAAATTTCACCGAAGCAGCTCCTTCGCGAAGTTCTTCCAATAGCAGCATGCAACACACCGCAACCACAAAACAGCACTCATCCATGTAACAAACATGTAACATTGAACCATGTAACAAACATGCAACTTTCCTCATAACCCTTTTACGCCGCACCCGACCTGCATTGAGGGTGCCAAGACTTCCAGCAATTGAGCACGCAGCTCACCAACCGCGAGCCACTTCTTGTCCGGTCCACGGCCAACATTCCGAGCACCTGCCATTTCGCGAAGCTCCATTACAGAAATTTCTGCCAGGGCCCCTCGGAGCCAATCACGGCCCCTGGTCACAGCATTGCTACGCAGCTCCTGCAAACGGATTTCCACGGCATTGGAAGACGTGGTCGCCTGCTCCATTCGCACGGACAGTTCCTTCAGCAAACGAAACAGTGACCACGATGCGGAAACGCCACTTGAACCAAACATTTTGCATGCAGATAATGTTCACTAGCAAGCATGTTCACCGTCAATCTCTCTCATTTCCATGTTGTCCAGCAAGAACAAAAGACGCAACACAAACAAAGTTCCAACTGCCATCATCACCCTCACTGCAACTAAAGCAACCGAGCTCCACACATTGCCAGCGCGGGTGCTATCAATCATCCATCCTCAGCCGATGCCCAACAGTTCTGCATTATCATGCTGAACACAAATCAATCCTTGCAGTCACAATCTCCAAAGAATCAATGCAAGACCTCATCCACAGAAAAAAATCCAGAGTATTACTTTCAAGGCATCACTTGAGGCTCCGACCAAACGATTCCTTTGTAGAAGATGTAGTTGAATGCCGCTCGCACAGACTTGTGCGGTAAAACTCCATGCTTGATTTGGAACAAGCAGAAAACACAACCACCAAAGAACGAATGCAACACCATGTCCACAGAGACAGAACACAGACACTTTTACACACAAACCATGTTACACACAGAAGCTTTTACACACAGACGCTTTCGCACACAGACGCTTTTACGCACGGACCCTCTTACACACAGAAGCTTTTACACACAGACGCTTTTACACACAGACGCTTTTACACACAGACGCTTTCACACACAGAGATTTTTACACACAGACGCTTTCACACACAGATAATTTTACACACAGAAACTCCTGTACATACAGACGCTTTTACACAGACACTTTTTCACACAGACGCTTTTACACGCAGACGCTTTGCACAGACGCTTTTACAAACAGACACTTTTACACACGGAAATTTTTACACACAGACGCTTTCACACGTCGTGCCCCTCTTACACACAGAAGCTTTTACACACAAGAGCTTTTACACACAGACCCTTTTACACACAGACGCTTTTACACACAACAGCTTTTACACACAACAGCTTTTACACACAAACGCTTTTACACACGGACGCTTTTACACACAGACGCTTTTACACACAGACGCTTTTACACACAGACACTTTTACACACAGACTCCTCACAAAGACGTTTCCAGGACGTTGAACGTCAAAAACTGAGGAAAAATTGCGAGTTTACTTTGTCCATCGCGACCCTTTCGCACGAAATAGACGTTGGACGTCAAAAACTGAGGAAAAATTGCGATTTCACGGGTCCGGTTATTATATGTGAAAGTATTTGTGTGTAAAGGAGTTGCTGTGTGTGAAAGTTTCTGCGAGTTGTTGTCATTGTAGCGGTAGGGAGTGATGTAGTATGAGGAGCAGGCTTGACAAGCGTGCCGCTCCAGTACAGCGCTCCTTGAGAGCTATGGACATTGGTCGTCCACATGCCACACACAGCCAGGCAGCGAGGAAAATCTGCCGTCCCACCACGCAGTCGTTGTGGGCATGGTTCATCACTTCCACTCGAGCTCGCGCAGCGAGATCCCTCGACTTATCCACAAAACCGCGAAGTCGCCCAATTCGACGAATCAGGGTCATGCGCTTTCGATCTAAGGCTCGCAGCTGGCAAGACCCGGCATTCACCCACCATGCGCGCCTTGGCAATCAAGCAGCACCTGGTGCCAAAGGCAAGAAAAGCATTTGCCTTGTTCCTCATGGAGAATACACGGGTCAAAAAGGGTGCTTTGAAAAAGGAACACATTGAAGACATGAAAAAGGTGGCCAAGCTATGGAAAAGGCTCCCTGAAGCCACAAAGGCTACTTACAATGAGAAGAGCGCCCAGGAATTCCAAGCACAGAGGGCTGCGCTGATGCGTCTAGGTCTTGATCCTAGGCCACAGGCAGGCAAAGCTACCTGCAGTCCTCCTGGTCTGCCTTTGCAGACCCTTGAGGAAGAAGTCAAGAATGTCAAGAAGTTTACTGTTGGGCCATACACAGTGACAGACAAGGAGGGTATTCCTTTGTTGGGCAGCGGATCCTATGGCAAAGTGTTTTCAGCTTGCACCAGCCTGGGCCGGTCGTGCGCCATCAAGGTGTATCGAAGCCGGGGTGCGAAGAGTGAGGCCGCCTACGAAGCCACCATCTACATGAATTTAGACAAGCTGCAGCCATCCCATCGCAACTGGTTTCCTCAAATGTTGGAGTTTGACGCAGATGGGCAGCCATGGCCTTGGCTGTCACTGGCCTGTGCAGGGGTGAGTCTAGCAAGCTGGTTGGGTGCCAATGGCGCGATGACCTCGGAACTGATTCAACCCGCGGTGCTGCAGCTGCAGGCGGCAATCCAGACTTTGCATTGCCAGGCGCGACTCTTGCACCTGGACATCAAGCCTGCCAACATCCTTTGGTGCTCTGAGCTAAAGGAGCTCAAGCTGTGCGACTTTGGCATGTCAGAGCCTGTGAGAGCATCCATTGCCCAAGGTCCAAAGCCCACGGTCCAAGGTCCAGGGTCCACCATCCAACCTGCAAAAGCTAAACGCCAGCTCCAGCAGTTGGTTGATGCTTTACAGGCTTTGCCAAAAGCAACGGCCCAAGCTCATGCTCAAGCTCCGCCACGATTTTGCGAATATGTCACAGCTCAGTATCGACCACCAGAGCTTTGGCATGTGGGTGCTGATTCGCATGCCTTGGAAGCAGCTTTGACCAAGGCAGTTGATGTATGGAGTTTTGGCTGTGTTATCTTTGAGATCAGTACGGGAAAAGTTCTCATGCATGCAAAGGATGGAAGGCACACGTCTTCCAGGCAGACCGTTGCTGATTGGTGCAAAAATTGGCCAGAGATGAGCGCTTCTCCTTATCATCATCGCCAAAGGCCAGATAGTAGTAGTAGCAAGTATTTTCGTGCTCGCCTTGCTGCCTCTGGCATGTGGCATGCTGTGATCCTAGCTGCCTGCAGTCCGGAACCGAGGGCAAGAAGATGGATGAAGCTGCCTCAAAGCGTAGCAAGTGAGAGTTGAAAGTTTTCTTTCTGGGAACCAGCTTCCTGCACATGAAAGCTGGCAGGGGAGGGGAGTAACTATTATTGTCCTGCCATTGCCATCAGGTTCATGGTTTAAGGTCCATGGTCCATGCTCTTCATGATCACTCACGGCTACATTGTGGGTTGCCAACGATGGCCAAGTGGCAGGAAAGTAATAATCCTTAACTTAGTTAGGGCCTGCGGACATTGGGAGTTCATCCAAGCAGCTTTGTGCAAAAAGAATCTTGCGGCGCTGAATTTTGCATCGTTCCGGAATCGTTCAGTTTTCTGATTTTCAACGCAACACGTAAATGCCACTAAATCAATTAGAATCGACCTCCTGCCTCTTGCATGGTTGGTGCTGCGGAGGCAGAAGCGGGTCTACGATTTGCAGCTGCTGACATAGCTGGCGAGAAAAAACAGGGGCCAAAACGGTTCGTCCATGGTTCTTCGTCCATGGTCCATGGTCCAGTTCTTTTTTTGCAGCCTTGTATGGGCAGAAGGCGCTGCCCTAATAGAAGCGCTGGACAAGCCAATGCGCGGCTGTGACAAACAAGCTCCTGCAGACGCCAACGGACATGTTTTGCACAAAATCAATCAAAACGCCAGCATATCCTTAAAATTTTTCGGGCCAGTCGAAACACGAACCCAGTATATATATATATATATGTATATATATATATTGATATACATATGTATGCTGTATGCTTGATAGCTGTCTTTACCAAATTTCTTGGAACAGGATCAGGCTCCTGTATGGACAGCCCCCCAGAACACTCAAAAGGCTAGAGATTCAGATACAATCAGACTCACTCTCAGAGTCAGACTCAGTCAGAATCAGCAAAGACATTCATTTACCTGAGTTTTTTGGATATGTTTCACTTTGACATGGCTGACTTGATACGTTGGATTTGATGCTGTCATTGCCATCTTTTTTTCCGCTTTGGCAAATGCGATCAGATACCAACAGACCATGGCGCCAGTTATGACTTGGAAGCTCCCAAGCTCCACCTTTGAAAAGCACGATTGTCCAAAAAAGTATATATGTTCCAAATATAAAGACGAGTAGACATATCACTCTGGAGCTCCCTCATGGCCGTTGCCAACAGGAACCTTCCCATTACGGGATGCAAGAATTCTGGCTCTGATTTCAGATTCCATCCAAGCTCGGTTGGCATTCTTCATCTTGTCAGGTTCACCCTTGTGATCCTTCAGGTATTGTCCAATGAATTTGAACTCAGGGCACAGGTAAAAAATGCAACAAACATCACACAAGCAACAAACATCACAAAAACATCACACATGGCAGTTGTTTCAAAAGGACACACATCACACAAGCAAGAAACACTCAGACTCAATCTACGTCTATGTCGCTCCAAGGCACTCGCTCAGACATCAAATTCAAAGGTTTGGGTTCTTCTGGTACTTCAGCATCAGGCACGGGATGACCAACAGGTGCAGCTGCAGCGGGATCACCTCCATCACCACTGCCGCCGCTGCCAGCAGCGTCTCTGGGGGTCCCCTTTGAAACCCATTTTGAGTGCCAAGTATTTGAAACATCCCTGGCTCTGATCTTGCGAATTTCTTTCAAAATCTCCTCTGAAGGCGGCAACAGTGAGCCCATCACAGTTCCTTTTTTGAATTTGGGGTCATCAATGAGGTCAGCAGCCTTGGCTTTGATGATCTCTTGAGGGTCTTTGAGGTCATCAGAATCTGAATCAGCACTGTCACCAACACATGGAGCCACAGTCTCACAGTCGTCAGCAGCAGCAGCATCAGGTGTCACTGGTGCCGCCCGGGATTTGCGGGTAGGAGGTGTAACGGGGTCCGGCATGTCCTCATCACAAAAAGGTTTTTTGCGCTTGAGTGTCTCCTGCTTCTGAAGCGTCTGCTTCTCTTGCTGCTTCTGATGTTGTTTCTCCTCCTTCTTCTCATCCAAAGGGTCACCAAACAGGTCCTCTTGCTGTGAGTCTGCGACCTGGCTATCAGATTGAATCCCAACTGGTTTTGCAAGTGCCCAAACTGGAAGCGTATCCTCCGCATCCTTTCGAGGTTTGTCTGTGTGCGAAATGGGCTGGAACAATGCACCTTCAGAGTGGCTGCCACCATCTGCAAAGTCGACGTTGTCCTCATCAGAGTCAAGGATCAGGGAAGCTGAAGCCATTGTCTCGCCCAGAAAAACAATGACAGAGCTTCCATGGAATCCGGAAGCACTTCTACTTCAGCTATGTTGCAAAATCAAACTGAGCCACAAAGCAAGTGAGCAATGTGATTGTGATTGAGATTGTGTCTGAATCTGAGACTGATTTTCACAATCTCGTGGTGTTGATTCTGAAAGAAAGGTCGTCCACTTTGTGACTGACTCTGAATACGAGACTGGATGTGAAGAAGCTTTTTTCCCCAATGTCCCGCAGCACTGATTGTGACTAGAACAGACTTTGCTCAGTCACCTACCAACTGCACGTTGAAACTCAAAAGTAGATTGGGCCACAATGAGTGGCATGTCAAGCCCATCGCTTTCACCACACTGCTGCAAAACGGCAAGCACTATTGGAAATCCTTTGTCACCACATTATAGTTGTTTGCTGTTTAGTTGTTGTTTATGCCCAAAATTGAGTGTGGTTTTCAGAGCCAAGCCACAGCAGACTGGGCGTCTTAGACGACTCGTTGCCACTCCCCTTTCTCCAAAGACAGGGCATGGCGCAAATGCCACAATGGCTTTGCAGGAGCCACCACTCCTTCACTGGCATACTTCCCTCAACCTCCAAACCTTAAGAGTCAGGCAGAAACTAAAAGAAGCAAAAGCACAGTGAGTCAAATTGAAACAAGCACAAACTGTTGTTGAAACAAGTAGCGATTTCCAAGGCAGCAGATTCACGCAGTTTCTCGGCATCCACATAGCTGGCACAGGTGCTGTGCTTCAAAGTTCTGAGCTGAACATTGTTTGGTTTCCAAACCAATGGGTTGTCGACCTTGGGTGACACATTGAACCTGAGCCGGCATAGGACATGGTTTGAAACACAGAGGAAACGAAACATGTTGAACCTGACGGGGTCAAAACATGTTGAGTCTGACAACACATTTTGAGTCTGACAAAATTGAAGTCCTTGAGCCTTTCACTTTTTGATATCGTAGATTATCGTAGTACAAGATGAATCTGATACAAAAAATTATTCAAGAAACATGTCCTCACTGTGTCCATTGAAGACTTGCCCTGGCCGCTCTGCATCATGGCCACCCAGCTTGAAGTCAACAAGTCCATCAGATTCAATCTTCTGGAGACATTTTCTCAGACTTTGAACTTGTGAGTCGTTCCCATGATCATCCTTCGGTGCGCAAGGCACAAGATAAAAGAAAGAACATTGATTCTGTGTCTAAAAGTCTAAAACATTGATTCTGTGTCTGTGTGAGACACTCTGCTTCAGCACCACCAGTCCTCCAAAACGCATTTTGCAAGATCATTGCTGAACTCCCAGTGATGCACTTTCTGTGGGCCATCCTGCAATCAGCATGTGAAACTATAAGGATATATTATATGTCAGTTTACATCATACAAAGCTTGACAAACATTGAGAAACACTGACAAATGCTGGCCTGCAAGGCTTTGGCTGCCTTGCTATCTAGCATCCACGTACCACCACCATGTGAAAACACTGGCTCTTCCACACCGAAGCTCCCAGCTGCCGTCGTGGCACAGATGTAGTACTGAGGCCCTTCCGTGATTTTGCACACAAGCGCGCCACTGCTCAAAGGGAAAGTTGCTGAAACAGTCATTGACTCCAGGGCTTCCAAACTCTTGGGGCTGTCCCGAAAGATACCGGCCCATGGATTGGCACTGCCAGCTTCAGAAGATTCAGCAGCTCCATTTGCGACTGCAGCAGGTGCACCTTCATCAGAACCAAGAGGCCTTTGTGAGGCTGCCTCGAACCGCTTGTCAAATTCAGCCAGACTGGCCTTCCATTCTTTGGACCGGAGAGGATCTCGCAAGAACCGCTGTCGGATGTCAGAAGGAATTGCCACAGTGTTTTGATCCATGATTTTGCACAAACTGTACTCATCTCTGGGACTTCGATGATCTCAGGCAGACTGGGGGGATCAGGAACAAATTTGGTGCTGAATTCCGGACCCTTTGCCTGTCCACGCTTCCAAGAATCCAAGAGCTGTTGGCAACCATCTTTGTTCCAAGCTGCCAAGCCACATCCACAGACACCGAGAAGATGGGCACATTGACTTCAATGCAAGCCCGTTCCAAAGCTCCATCGTAGAGTGTGCTGTGAAACACAATGGTCTTTTTTCCACCTTTTGCAAGTCAAAAACATCGACTTGACTAAAACAAACCAGCCACGCATCAGGAGACTTAAAATAAAATGATGCAGCTCAGAAACCATTTCCACTGATGCCAAGGGCGGCCAAGAGCTTCCGTCCAACATCCACTCCTCCTAGCCATTGTGAAGTCTCTTGCAGGTCTGTGTAGTTTCTCCTTTGATCGTTCGACTGCCAGCCGGCAGTGGGAGTGAGATACTCAGCTTCAGGAATGGCAGCTGGTAGGTCGCCATGAAAGCTCTGAATCTTCCAAGCAGGCGAAGCCACAAACCTCTGTCATTCAGATTCACAAAATGTTGAAAACGTTTGTGTAGTTTTTGAATCTTTTTGAATGGCAATGAATGATGTTGAATGATTCTGAGTGACTTTGAACGATTGTGAGTGATTTTGAGTTCACATGAAAACCAACGAGAAAGTAAGTTGGAAGCAAGCCACACATTGGTATCTTCCTTGGCCACTTTGCTCGGAGATTCCTGATCTCTGTTGCCTGTCCTCGGAAGCCTGTACAAGACACCTTTTGCCGGCAATGTGTGATCACACACAACCAGCCATGCTGTGTATGATGCCGGTTGTTCACAGTTGCCATGCACGGCAGCCAATGAGAGGGTCAGGTGGAAGGGCCTGAGTTCCAAATGGTGCTGGATCAGCTTGTCTTCAATCTTCCTGGAACAATCCCCAGAAGATTCACACTATCTAAATTTGTCACAAGCTGACCTCTACAAAAGAGCTGCCTTAAACATGAAAAACTCCTTTCAAAATTGTGTTTCAAACGTGTTGTTTTTTTTCGGTCCTCCAGTCGCCTCTGAGAGTTGAGCCAGGCGTTGCGCTGGCCAACAGAGGAGCGATCACCACACCAATGGATACAACAAACATAGACCACTTCCGTGTTTTCCCAACATTTTTTTGCATGGTTTTTGACTTGTAGGGAGCCCTTTATTGGAAGACCAACCCAACTGGAAAAATGCTATTGACACACAACAAACATCAGCAAACGAAACTATTGACAAGTGTCTCAGCGGGTTTTTGCCCAAAACATTGGCCAGCCACTGCGAATGGGCATTGATGTTCTGTTGACTGAACGTCCCCAGCTTTGTGAAGTCAATGACTGCAAGAAAATGCATCTGCCCCGGAGCTTCCTAAGTCAGAGTGAGTTTGACAAAAACATCAGTTAAACTAAAGGGTGTGTAACAGTGTAACATCATACCTTTGGAAGTTTTGCTCATACTTATTCAAGGCACCTGAGAATCCAGAATTGCCTTGCGAACGAACTGGTCTGAATTTGGCACATTGGTGACGTCAGGGACTGTGCCCATAAAGCACTGCTGCTCCAAGAACTTCTCAATAAGCCTGGGGCAGAAGCATTGCTCAATAACCCATACAATCTGCACACATTCCACATTCTCAGCAGCAACATGGATATGAACCTGAAAATGCGCTCCAACACGTATTCAACAACATAATCAACCAAAAAAACTCAACCACCATCACCACCAACAACAACGGCAGCAGCAACAGCCACATCTGCAAACCACAAACCAGGGTCACAATCACATTCACTTTCACAACCACAATCATAATCAGAATCAAAATCAGAATGACGAGGAACACAACCACCACGACAGCGACAACGACGACAACCACCACGACAGTGACAACAACGACATGTCCAAGTTTAGCACCAACATCTGGAACAGAAACATAACCATCCTCATCAACCTCAACATCACCACAATCACCACTGCCACAACCAGAACCAAATACCAACAAAACAAACCAAAACATCCAGGTAGATTCCATACATTCTTCTACTCTTTGAATTGTTAATGTCAGCACTAACTAAAGTATTGAACATGGCAGAGTCAAGTCACTCCAGCCCCTTTGCATTCTGTTCTTTGAGATGTTGAACTTCCAGAACATGAAGCATGGATGCCCTCTTTGTCTTCTGGGCTTGGAACTTGCACCATTCAGTCGAATCTTTCCTCAGGGGCATCATTTGGCACAGCAAACATACTTGTACGGATAGATTATGTTTAACTAGAAATCTGGCCTGAAGTCAAACATGTTGCAAAATCTTTCAAGACTTTGGGTCTTTGATTGTTTGAGTTTTAATTGAAGAAAAGGGTCGCAATCTTTGACCGGACTGCCGCAAACTCAGTTGCTTCCAAGTCTGCTTCCGTATCTTCAACGCTCTGCACGTCAGGCCCACCAAGTGAAGCCAATGCTTCGCCTGGAAGAATCAAGTCATTCCAAAGACACAAATTCTGCACCTTCCATTCGGCTGCACCAATGTTGACGCTTGCTTGGATCTCATCGAAGTAGTCCCTAAGATGATGGAGGAGGACAGGGGTCAAACAAAATCAAATCACCACAACATTGCAATGACCATACTCAGAATCACTAATCATGACTTCCAAGGCTTCAAGTTTGATTTGCCAAATCAAAAAACAATTATGCCAAATCACATGGCATCAAATGCCTTCGCCAGCTCTTGCTCCCACCCTGGCTTGGCATTGTTCAAAGTCTTGGCTTCCTCCAAGGCAGCACTGAAAACGCAAGCGTAGTTCACAAAGTTGTCCCACTCCTGTGGGTTGAGACGGACTTTGGCCCTCTGGCTTGGCCTGACCTTCCGACATCGGGCCACGAACTGTGACACAACCAGTTTGATGAACATGCCTTGCGACAAAGACTTCACAGTGAGCACTTTCCGGAAGCAGTCCGGGACACCACGCAAGCAAGCACCCAGAAGCCACCTTGGTCGTCGCATCAGCTCAACGTTGAAAGCACATTGAGCCCACTTCTGGGCATGCAAATGCCCATGATCAACTCACGGGTTTCTTCACTGGTGCCCTGGATAATGTTCAGGAGCGAGATGATCTTGTCATCATCAAGGGACCACTTGTTGAGAAACCCTGGCGTGTCTTGGAATTCAGCTACAACTTTTCGAAGACGTTGCTCAGGGGTCAATTCCTTGGCATGGACTCCTTGGTCAGCACGAAGCTTCATGATCGAAGAAAAACGCAATGACATTTGCAGGAGATTCGGAGGCTGGCGTTCTGCACCTCTCAGAGAAAGGACCATGTTCAAGTAACTGCAGGTCGCTTCATCAATGTTCATCCTCACCTTAGTACACACTGCTCACCTGTGAATGGGTTTATTGAAAAAAACCTGGATGAGTTTGAAAAATGAATCTGAATGAATTTCGAGAAAATGAGTCTGAATGGCTTTTCATATATTTCAAAATTAGGAACTTTAGCTGGAAGCAGCCATGCGAAATCCAGAATCGGAAAGAGGGGCCGCAGGATGTCCATGGCATCAGGGCTGCTAAGGTCAACATCTGCTGCACTCAACATGGTGAAGAGCACACACTGTGTCTTCGTGTAGCCCTTGATGATGCGCAAGGACAGAAGATCCACTTTGACTGTCTGACCTGCACAGGCCAATGGTTGTTACATAAAATCACAGCTCTGTAATGACAGCCTCATGAACTATGAGACTAAAAGGGTAAGCCAGCCTGGTGCCACATCCACCTAAGTCTAGAACAAGTTCATGTCAAAGAATCACTGAGCCACCACTGTTTTGGTTTTGCCTTGCAAATCTTTATGTCAAAGCGCTATAGAGTTTTCAGGCCCCTGCCGTGATATCGATCGGCTCTCTGCCAATGTCTAATCCAGCAAAGACCATTCCTTCGAAGCAGGTGATCCAATCCTCCAAGAGTGGCAATCCATCCTCTGGAACTTGCTGCCTCAATCGACAAAGAAGAGAGGAACATAATAGAAGAACATACAAATGTGAGCAGGACACAGAATCTGAAAGAGATACAGCCCACATTATATATAAAGTATAAGAACAACTTTCTGCTGGCTAGGCTCGAAAGGGTGATCACAGGAAGCTTGATGATATCGTTTTGCATCGAGCTTTCGATCACCTCATAACATTGACTCTGCTACCGAAAGGAGCAAAGATCAAATCAACAATGACAGTAAAAAATCAATGATATCAAACTCAATTTTGTCAAACTCAAAGATATCAAACTCAATGAATAGAGATTAGATGTCAATTTCAAACAAGAAGCAGTGTTGTTGGCTTCCTTGTGGTTGAGAATGACACCCATAGCAGCCCTCTTTGCCACATACTCTTGATACCACCCTTCAAGGGACAGAGCAGTCATCTCAGCATTCTTACATGCCAGCGTGTCCAACACCAGCTGCCCGGGGTGCATGATGCCCTCACATGTTGGATGCTGCTGAAGATGTTGACGGATATGGGTCAGGTGCCCAAGCAGTTCCTGACAATTTCAACATAGAATTGCATTCTCAAAAATAATTTCAACACTAAAATGCTTAACACAATGGGCACACTCAACTCCGACCCAGTCCTTGACCAAAGCAACATTGCCCTCCATTTTCTTCAGTTGTTTCTCATACTGGGTGCAACTAACTTTCGTGGCTGGCTCGCCATCACCTTCCTTGACCTCTTGCTTCTTGGTCTTTGCGGCCCACGGCGAGATCATTGAAACGCAGCAAAAAAAGGAATCAGCTCACTGATGGCGGTGAATTGAATCTGAATCTGACACTAACCACAGTCACTAAGCTCAGCCAAAATCCCTTCATCATAAAACACACACGTAGACGAACCCAAGCCAGGTACATTGATTTTTTTGGGGGGACTCAACTTAAAAGTCAATGTATCAGACTAGGTTTGATACATTGATC